TTTTATCTTCTTGCTCTTGTCCTATTCTTCTGCTGTTCGTCAGTACAGTTCGTTTTCTGCTTATGTATTAACTCGTTATAAAACAGGACAGTGTGTGTGTATCTATATATATATATATATATATATATATATATATATATATATATATTCTGTTTTATAACGAATTTATTAAAAAGAGAACAGGTAAGAACAGTCAATACATAAGCAGAAAACAAACTGTACTGACTGACGAACAGTAGAAGAATGGGACAAGAGCAAGAAGATAAAAAAAAAAAACATAATCACGTAGAACAAAGCGGGCTTTGCGTGTTATATGTCCCAAGGCGAGACATAGATTTTACAGACATGCGCATAGAGTGTAGCATGCGCAGATGCTTATGCGCGTAAGACATGTTAAACCTCATGTTGAACAAAAACAATATACAATAAATGTATTTTAAACATGAAATGTTTACGTACTATGTTCGTGTTGTAAGCGTGTAGGCAGGAGAGGCGTCTGAACAAAAATAACAGAAAAAGTAATCTTAAGGTGTCGAAAAACAAAAAGTTCTTTAAAAAATTTGTTTTGTTTATAACTTTTTAATGAACAGTGAGCGATAGCTCACTAAAATCTTTACATTGTTACTCAGGGACATGTCTTTGACAACATATGTCAAGGTCAAGGTCATCGGAGCATTCTCTCCTATACTGAACATTTACCAAAATTACTGTGTCAGAAATGTCAAAAATGCATGCTCTCACATTTTCTTTTTTTTATTTGTTTATAAAAGGTTTAGGAATAATTAATGTTTATACTAGAGGTTTATACTTTGAGCCACGCATACAAATTTTTTCAAGTCGAGAAATATTATAATCTGAATACAAACCAAAATATTTAAAAAGATAAAATTTGGGACCTTTACTTTATTTGAGTAATAGAATGAGATAAATATTTAAAATATGTAGTATTCTAGATATTAGTTTATCTTACAATATGATAGTTACATTTTTTTGCTAGGGCTTTAAGATGCTAAAGCAACCGTCGAATTCCGATTCGGCTGCCATCTAACTACTAAGCTCTAGAGTTCCTAGAAGTCCTAGTGTCTGGCTACTCATCGTATCTGATTTTATTGGTTCAGCTCGCAAGCCCCTTAAAATGGCGGAACCAGTTACAACGCAAAGAGATCGTATAAATACACACACACACACACACACATACACACACCAAAAATAAGGTGAAAATAATTATACTAAAGAATGTGTTGAGAACTCGCCTAGAGTCCGTCGCGCGTTTCTCGGAGGCTCTCGGATTCACGCTGCGCAATATATGTATCCGAGCGCGCTCCAGAGTATTACTCAAGTCGTGTCGCTGATTTGCGAAGCTCCAACTCACGCATGGGAACTTCGGAGGAACTAATCACCAGATTTGGCTTACGATTACGCCTGCACAGCCAAGGAATCGGATCGGTTTTTATCTTATCCTCTCTTTCTGCGTCGAGACACCGAACGCAACGAACGTTCAGCAAGTTCAGTGCCACGTGTTGTAAATCGATCAAATCAAGCTGCGAAACAATTCGCTCGTTCTTAAAACAGAGACATTCAAGCTGCCTAAACCTCGAGGAGTTCCGCGATCAACGACACGGCATATTTTTGTAATTGCGGCGAATATTGGGAGGGTGCGACTTCATTGTACTACTAATAAACAAGAAAAAAAACGGAATTGTTGCGGCCTTCTTCTTCACCTCCAAGAGCCGATCCTTGCTGCCGATTCATTCGCCTTTTGCTTCAATTGAAGTGGAATCAGTGGCAAATTCAGCGGCGTGCTATAAACCAAAAAAAAAAAAAAAAAAAACTGGTTTAATAATCAAATTTTATTAACATAAAGAATGCATTACCATCGTCTTACTATATTCTTTTTAATTTATTTTTTTTATGAGATACGCATTCTATATGCAATGAAACGTTTTATAATTTTAAACAGTAAATTGTGACACGCTTTTATAAAACACATTACAGATTTTAGTTTGTCCAAATAAAATGTAAGAAAATTGAATATATTTTCTTTTACGTGAGGCAAGTATTAACGAATATTTATTTCTATATTATAAAAATATGTAAACGTTTCGTTGTTTACAAAGAATAGTGTATTTTAGCAAAAGCACCGCAACTGAGCAAGTTTTGTGTGTCATTTTCATCACACAAAAACGCCATTTTGAGAGGAGCAAGTGGTCAGACTATATCTTCTAGGGACCCTACTATGTTCTAATAAGTAGTGGCCTCTAATCGGACCGAGACAAAAATAAATGTATATGTCTCTTTGGTCCCTTCTGCTAAAATTACACTAATCTTACTTTTCTATTATCTTTTCCTACAAGCTTCAAAATCTGCTTTTAAAGTACTTAAAATATTTGTTTATCTAGAAAGAAAAAGTCTTCTTTTAGATTCGTACTGCTAATTTTGCATATAAAGTGAAAATGTGGACTATGTCATAACAGTTCATAAACTTTAGTTTATTTTTGAATGTTTTTAAACTTTCCACTTCTTTAGCATATTCGTTTTAATTCTAGAGAAGTGTTTTTCTCTGTACAATAAATACAACAAAAATAGAAAAGTAATAAACATACATCGCGTGATTCTAATTTTTTGTAGACACTATTAATCGGAATGAAAAACGCTTTTCTAGAAAAGAAGAGAATATATTAAAGAATTGCATAAAGCATAAAAATATAAGAAAATATTGCTTCATATTACAAAATTGGTTGCATAAATCCAAACAAAAAAAAAAAAAAAAAAAAATGTCAGCAAAACTAAAAACAGATGAATATTTTGAGTGCTTCACAAAAGACTTTAAAGCTGTGTGAGAAAAGAAATTTTGGAACTAAGATTAGTACAATTTTAGCAGAAGCGCCAAAGAGACATATATGTTTATCCTTGTCTTGGTCCAACTAAAGGACATTACCTACTGGACAGCGTAATGGCTGAGCAGCTATTTAGCTATTGCTTTTCTCTTAAAAAGATGCTGAACCGTCCTGATTTACTCACATTTTTGTGGTTCAAATTTTTTGTACAAATTATTAATCGGAATGAAAAACGCTTCTCCAGAAAAACAGAAAATATACTAAAGATTTCCATAAGGCATAAGAATTCAAGAAAAACAAAAAAAAGGTTATAAATTGTTATTACGTAAACTACATTTTTGCTTTATATGCAAAATTGGTCGTACAAATCCAAACAAAAATACCTTTATGGAAAACTAGAAAAACTAGAAACATAAGCGAATATTTTGAGTGCTTCAAAAAGATTTTGAAGCCTTGTAAGAAAGAAAACTGTGAACTAAGATTACAATTTTAGCAGAAGCGCCAGAGAGACATATGTGGTCTATCCTTGTCTCTCTTATGTTATCTATTCTTGTTTTGGTTTGTCTCGGTCTCGAGCCACTTATCCGATAGCGTAGCAGCTGAGTGACAGCTGAATCAAAGGTCACTCGTCGGTTCAGCGTCTTCTTAAGATCCTAACGCTTTATAAACATCCTTAAGATTCTGAAATCGAACATTTTGAGAATAATTCTAGACAGAACTTAAAGCGTTCATTTGCTATTCCGAAGACATTCAAAAGACATTCTAGTACTGTTTGGAGATCTTAATGTAATAGTTAATTATATCTTCTACTTTTATACATATTCGATGAGTGCATTTGTATGTGTCCGACTTATATCATTTAAAACTCAAGTAATCTGTAAAATTTTTTATTAATGTAAAATTTTTTATTAGTCACTGATATAATCACCGTCGTTTCTTACATTTTTTCCCCAACGTTTTGATAGATGCTTGAATCAACCAACCTCTTTTTTGAAAAAGCAAGAAAAATAAGTTTTCATGATTTCCAAAGTGAATGTTTTCCTTGTTTTGCAATGATCGCAAATAATAATCTGATGTAATATCAGGAAAATACAGTGAGTGTGATATAATATTTTATTTCAGTCATTTAATTTGCGCAGTCTGTTTTGCAATGTGTCTTAATAAACAACAACTCCCTTACAATTGGTCAAACTTTGCTTTTTTGGATTGCTATATTTAAATTGTCTAATTGTTGACAGTATTTATCAGAATTAATTGTTTAGCCACCAAAGAGCAATTCAAAATAAATTATTTTTTTACAATCTCAGTAAACAGAAAGCATCAATTTTTAAGGATGCAAATTAGTTTTTGCAATCCGTGGCATAAAATTGCCACGGATTCTGCTCGCTTATCTGCTAGTTTCCAAGCGTGTTTGCGTTAAACATTATATAGGATTAAACGTTATATAGGGTCTATTTTTCATCGTCAATTGATCCAAAAACTACTCTTAATTTAGTCTGTCAAACAAAAAAACAACTGCAGAAACTCAATTCAATTTGTTAGCTTGGTTAGCAAATGTGGCATCTACATATCGAGTTTAAAAGTGTATCCAATTTTTTTAAATGCCAAAATGCAGTCAATTTATCAAAGTTGAGTTTCTCCATTTTTTAATTAAAATATTCATGAATTATTTTGCACTAAATTGCTCATATATCATCATTTATGACAAAAAGTCAGAGTATAGCTCGTCAAGATGAAGATGATCAAAACTCTAAATCTTGCAAAATTAATTTCTCAACAGTGTGAGTTGCTGGCGCACGATTCTGATAAACATTTTGAATGTTTTTTACGGCAATTTCAGAAGTTATATCTTTTTGAAACACATCAAGCATAACATATCGTAAATATATTTTTCTTTGCTCATTTTCAACATTATTTTCACAATGTTAATTCAATCAAAACAAAGCTTTTGCTTAACTCTTTCAATACCAGCGCCGTCTATAAATGGCATCCACATAACGAGCTGCACCGATTTCGCAGCACCTGTAATAATTGCATTAATTCTATGCAAAACACTCTATCTTCAAAGTGGGCACTTGTGGCAGAGTCCGCGGTACACAGAAAGCTTACTCGCGGACAAGTAAGCGGTAAGGAAAGGATTAAATAACCATTGAATATGTCATTTTTTCATAGATATACAATACGTACACATAACACTCAATGACATTGGAATCGGACATAACCTTTTGCACTCATCCAATACATGTTCTTGTATTTTATTTATAAGCATAATGTTATATTTTAGTATAATTGGTGATAAATAGAGATTATTCTTAGGCTCAATAAGTCTTTTATAGTATATGAATATAAGGACATGAAGAGCCGTTCGCAGGATGCTGTGCGTGAATGTGCTTAAATATATATATATATATATATGTATACACATATATATTTTGAAATAATTTTTTCCCCCATATAGGATGCTGGATTTGCATCACATATATATGAAGGACCCCGTATACATCCTATATGCATCCTATATGGGGGAAAAAAATTATTTCGAAATATATATGTGTATACATATATATATACAGGGTGTCCCAGAATTGCCGTACAATCTCTCGTAGGCAGGTAGAAGGAGTAAAACTGAGTCAAAAAGTCCTGAACCATTTTTTTCTATTATTTATAATAAAAGAGTAATTATTGAGTAAATCAGGCCAATCAG